CACCACCGGTCTCTTCCGCAGCTGCCTTTCTGCGCGCGGCTCTTGGATGCAGGGCGCGGCTTCAGGGGGCCGCAGGCGCCTTTCTAGCTCTGTGGGGTGGCTCGGTGGCGCTGACTTAGCCCAGGCGCCCTTTTCCTCACACACATCGAGCTGGGCAGGGGTCGAGGCACCCTCCTAGGCAGTGGTGAAAGTGACTTAAAATTTCTTCCGGGTACTGCCTGCTGGCTCTTGCTGGAGCTACTTCCCCGAAGCGCACTTGCTTACTTTCACCCCTGCTTCTGGGGCAGAGGTTGAGCCTGAGTGCGTCTCTGGCTCATATCTAAGCCCTGGCATTTGGCAGTGTGGCTGCAGGTCAAGTGACAGACTAGAGTCTGTAGTGCTGGATGTGTTAACAGAGTTGTGAGAACCAGGTCCAGCAGTTGTGAACCCAAGTGTGCAATGCAATGTGAATACTCAAGCATGGGCTTGGAAACAAAGCCTGGGTCCCACAGATGGGGTTTATGATGCAGTTTAGTCAGACCATTTGGAGAAAATCAACTAAAGCTGGCAGCTGCTCTTCTGGCCTCCGTCTCCGCAGTACATTGTATGGGTGTTAAATATCATTTAATTGAATAGTTGAGTTACCTCATGAATTCTTATTGGCTAGTCAACTATTCTATAGTCTCCGAGGCGGGGCTGTCATCAGTGTGGGGTGCCAGGCGGGAGCTAGTCTGCAATGAGAGCCAGTTTAAAAACCAGCTCCCCTTATGGACTGGATGCCTGTCACCTTGTGCTGCTGCCCCTGATAAAGGGAGGGGAGGAGTCTGACCTCCCGGATCCAGCACCAACTGGAACTGAGCTGGGCTGTCTACCCATCTGGCTCCTAATACACTTTAAATGCAAAGCTGCCACAGGGGTAGGTCCCAGACTTATCGCAAGCCAGGACTGAGCTGGGCTGCTGGCCAACCTGCTAAAACATTTATTGGTGAAGGGTGGGGAGGAGGGATGTGTATAGTCTATAGCATTAACCTATAAGCTTTTGCTTATTAGTTAATCCGTTAATCAACTACACTATTACATCCCTACTGTATTGCTCTCTCATACATAAAGGGAAACTATTAATGATTTTTAATTGACTAATCTTTGAAGAAATCAATTTTCTGATCTTGCCTTTCTAATATGTTCTTTTTTTTTTTTTTTTTTTTTTAAAGGAAAGCAAGGCTTTTCTCTCTTCCAGGACCGCCATCAATTATGTTCTACTTCACAAATCATAACTGCACCCCCCTTTTTTTGAGCACACAGCTGTATACTGGTCTTCCAGTTTTGTAGATTTTTTTTCAGTTGTACCCTATGAGGGTACATCAGTGGGGAAAACAAAAAACAACCTGCTACAGCAGTGAGTCTCAAAGCCTGGGTGTACAGGCTTGGGCTTGCACTCTAGCACTAAAACAACAATATAAAATAGCTCTGGCATAGATGCGCTTCCATTGCTGGGTTTCAGAGGCCAAGCAAGAATGTCTACACTGTTATCTTTAGTACCATAGCTTGAGCCAAAGTCTGTGGACTGAGGCTGACAGCCAACAAGGTGGTGTCGTGTCTCCCCTCCCCTCTCCGCCCCCTTCCCCCCCATATATACATATATCTAAGGTACTCATGAACGTTTACAAACAATGCAATTAAACAACCCCTTAGCCTTAGCATAGTATGCCCAAGTTGCATGGCATGGGACAACCTGTCTGTACCCCAGCAGCTGCAGTCTACCACTCAGGCTGAAAGCAGGGCTGTCAATCTCGGGCTGAGGGCTGCAGTCAAGTCCAGGACTGAAGCTGTGCTTGGGGTTTGAGACTGAGGTTGGGGCAGGAGCTGGGCTGCAGTCATGCAGTTGAATGTGGAGCCTAGGCCCAGAGGCTGGGGGTGAAATTGAGAGCAGAGTCGGAGATGAGGTAATCTGTAGGAGTAGGCTCTGTCAGTGACTGTTGGTGCTAGAGTCTGGCATCCCCAATTGGGTTCCATTCACCTTGAAGGCTTGGAGGTTGGCCTGGGCCTTACACCTACCTTCATCCCTGGACATTCCTCTCTGCCCCACTGTTGGGGGATCACTGCCTTAGCCTGGGTCCCATAAGCCTTATTTGCTTGCCTGGACCCTGCTGCAGGTGTTTAGTTGTAGTATAGATATAACTTTAGAGCCTGCAGAAAAGCACTTTTTGGCCAAATAGTTTATTTGCTGGAAAATATTGTTTTAGTTGCCCCCGTACTGTCCATTAATGTGATACTAATAGTCTGGGCCCCCAATTATTTTATTGGGGAATGGGGAGGATTTTGAATCCTAAGAGGACTCTGGCACAATTCATAAAACAGCCAAATGAGAAAATGCTGACTCCTATCATGTTTAGCCCCATGGTTAGGGAAACATCCAGCATGTGGGAGATAAAGGTTTGTTCTCCCCTCTGCCTAATGCAAAGCAGGGACATGAACATGGGTCTCACAACTTTAAGGTGTTCTATCCGCAAGGCTATCATCATACAGTCTGCCCCCAACACAATTGGTTCCGGGGATAGCGTCGCAAATCAGGGGTGTCGTAACTCGAGTCCGCATTTACGACAGGCATCTTATGCCGTCGTAAATGCGGGGCCAAGGATGTAAGTCGGGGGATTTCAGCCCCTTCTGCACTTACGGAAAAGGTCGTAAATCGGGCGATTGCAAAGTGGGGACCTCCTGTATTCTGATTCAATGACTAGCAGTCCTATGGCATCTTAGAACTAACAAATTATTAGATCATGAGCTTTTATGGGTAAACCCCACTTCATCAGATGAGTTGGAGTGGAAATTATGGAATCCAGGGTATATATAACAGCAAAAGAAGTTACCTGTCAATTGTAGGACCAATGTTAATTAAGTTACGTCAGGCTGGATGTGTCTCATTCATAGCATGTGATGTAGAAATGTAAATAACAAAAGCAGGGAAGTTACCTTTGTAGTGCACTAACCAGTTAAAGTCTTCATTCAAGCCTAAGTTGACCTTGTAAATGAACTCCAGTTCAGATGTCTTCAAGGGTGGGGAGGAGGTAATTCTTTTGTAGAAAGAATGGCTATTTTTAAGTCCATTATTGAATGTACAGGGAAGTTAAAATGTTCCCCTGCAGGCTTATGTGTGTTACCATTCCTGATGTCTGATTTGTGTCCGTTTATCCTTTGGTACAGAGACTGTCCTGTTTCGTGAATATACATGGCAGCGAGGCACTTCTGGAACTTAATGGCATATATCACGTTAGTGGATGTGCAGATGTATGAGCCCCTGATGTGGTTTATGTGATTAGGTCCAGTGATGGTGTCACTTGTGTAGATATGATGACAGAGTTGGCAATGGGGTTTGTTGCATAGGTAGGTTCCTGGGTGAGTATCTGTAGTGTGATGTGTGGCTGCTGGTAAGTATTTGCTTCAGGTTGGGAGCTGTCTGTAGGCAAGTACTGGCTTGTCTCCAAGGTGTGTGTGTGTGTGTGAGTTTTCCAGACTAGGTGGTAGATTGTCAATGATGCATTACAGGGGTTTAGGCTGGGGACTGTAGGTGATGACCAGTGGGGTGGTTGGAAAAGGTGCACACCTTGAGAAACTCCTCCTCCAGAAAGCTGCAAGCTGGAACTTTTTTTCCTAGACTGGAAAATTAGAATATGGGAGGTGGACGTGCCAATAGTGATCGTTGGTGACCCAGCCTACTCTTTGCTTCCGTGGCTCATGAAGATGTACCGGGCAGCCTGGATCACAGTAAAGAACAGTTCAACAGGATAAGCAAGTGTAGAGTGGTGGTTGAATGTGCTTTTGGGTGTTTAAAGGGAAGGTTTAGGAGTCTATTGACTAGGTTAGAACTCAGTCCCCATCATATTGTATATATAGATGGGATTATTTTGTCCAAGGTGCATTATTTTACATTTATCAACATTAAATTTCATTTGCCATTTTGTTCCCCAGTCACTTAGTTTGGTGGGATCTTTTTGAAATTCTTCACAGTCTACTTTGGTCTTAACTATTTTGAGCAATTTGGTATCCTCTGCAAATTTTGCCACCTCACTGTATACCCCTTTCTCCAGATCATTTATCAATAAGTTGAATAGGATGGGTCCCAGGACAGACCCTTGGGGGACCTCACTAGTTACCGCTCTCCACTCGGAAAACTTACCATTATTCCTACCCTTTGTTTCCTGTCTCTTAACCAGTTATCAGTGCACAAAAGGACCTTCCCTCTTATCCCATGACAACAGCCTTTTGCCTCCTGAGGGTCTACAGGTGTGTATGAGGCTACCCTTGAGTTCTCCCCCCCCCTCCCCCCCCCGTGTCCTGAGGCCCCTGGGGTTGGAGGTTATGGAACAGGGTAAAGAGGGAAAGTTGTTCTGCACAGGGGTGGGAGGGTTCCTGTCCAGACATGCTGCCAAGCACTCCATCATAGCCATCAGGAACGAAAAGACATTTTCCTGTGTTTTGCTTGCAATTAATTCCCTGCACACTCTCTTTTCCTGCTGCTCTGCTTGCATCTCCTCCAGGAATATATTCCTCCACTCCATTTGCTCCTTAAACATGTCTTCCCTTGTCTGTTTTCACCTGCGGATTTGTGCAAGCTGGACAGCTGCTGAAGCTGGGGAGTACGCAACAAGCTCCCTGCTGTAACTAAAAGTTACAAGGGCACACAATATAGTAAAACTCCGATGGTCTGGCATCTGACGGTCCGGCACTCCTGATGGTCCGGCACCATCAGGAACCCGAAAGTGCTCCGGGCAGCCGGACCATTGGAGCTGCTCTGCCCCCAGCTTCCCCGATTCAGCCACTGCTAAAACTGAACAGTGCTGAATCCAGGAAGCAGGAGGCAGAACAGCTGGAGTGCTGCCGAGTAGGTCCAGTAGCGCTGCCCTTCGGGGCTGCGGGACCAACCCAGCAGCACCCCAGCTGCTCTTGGGGACTCCTGGGTCAGAGCAGCTGGGGCGCTGCTGGGTTGGTCTGGTAGCGCCAAACCATGGCGCTGCGGGGACCAACCCAGCAGCACCCCAGCTGCTCTTGGGGACTCCTGGGTCAGAGCAGCTGGGGCGCTGCTGGGTTGGTCTGGTAGCGCCAAACCATGGCGCTGCGGGGACCAACCCAGCAGCACCCCAGCTGCTCTTGGGGACTCCTGGGTCAGAGCAGCTGGGGCGCTGCTGGGTTGGTCTGGTAGCGCCAAACCATGGCGCTGCGGGGACCAACCCAGCAGCACCCCAGCTGCTCTTGGGGACTCCTGGGTCAGAGCAGCTGGGGCGCTGCTGGGTTGGTCTGGTAGCGCCAAACCATGGCGCTGCGGGGACCAACCCAGCAGCACCCCAGCTGCTCTTGGGGACTCCTGGGTCAGAGCAGCTGGGGCGCTGCTGGGTTGGTCTGGTAGCGCCAAACCATGGCGCTGCGGGGACCAACCCAGCAGCACCCCAGCTGCTCTTGGGGACTCCTGGGTCAGAGCAGCTGGGGTGCTGATGGGTTGGTCTCGCGGCGCGGTCTCTGCTGCAGGCGTCCCCGATTCAGCCGCTGCTGAAACTGACTAGCAGCGGCTGAATCAGGGACTCCTGGGGCAGAGCTGGACTATCAGAAGGTAGGGCTATGAGGGGGTCTGGGGTAGCATCCCCCCACCCCAGACCCATCATAGCCCCCCCTTCTGATAGTCTGGCATATCTGATAATCCGGCACCCCCTGGGTCCTAAAGGTGCCGGATTATCGGAAGTTTACTGTACTTTGTGGGGTCTAAAACCTAATTTGTTAACATACAATGAAGGTCACTATAGACCAGTGTTTCTTAAACTTTTTAAGACCAAGGAACACCAAACAATATTTTTTTATGAGGAACACCAAGGATTTTTGATAGTCTGGCATATCTGATAATCCGGCACCCCCTGGGTCCTAAAGGTGCCGGATTATCGGAAGTTTACTGTACTTTGTGGGGTCTAAAACCTAATTTGTTAACATACAATGAAGGTCACTATAGACCAGTGTTTCTTAAACTTTTTAAGACCAAGGAACACCAAACAATATTTTTTTATGAGGAACACCAAGGATTTT